TAGTAAAAATAACATCTTAATTTTATGATGGTACATGCACACAATTAATACTTAAGAGAAATACAGTCGCCAAGTTAATGTCCATTCAAATAATGGACTCAACTCCCTCCCTCTCTCACACTACACTCGCTGGCTCTTCCCTCTCAGAGAAATTTTTGGGGGAAAACCACTAAATTTTAATAAATAATACCTCAAACTAAAGTTAGGATAATACAATTGACATTGCTGGATTCCTTGTAAGACCAGGAATATTTTGAATATAAATGTCATATATTTTGCACAAAAGATAACATAGTTAATTTGAGAAAAAATTTTATCTAAAATTTGTATGTCTAATGCAAAAATATGATGTTTATATTCAAAATGATCATCAAATTATAAGAATTCCAGCAATGTAAATTATATTCAGACCGGATAATTTGTATGAATTTTATGAGCTAAAACAAATATCTTCAGTTAATAAAAAAAAAAAATAATTCTTCACAGGGTAACAGATGGTCGGTCGGTCCCTCCCTCCCCCCCACCCCCCACCAACCGTCCCAAGGAGATGTGTGGGATAACCACTAAATTTTAATAAATAATACCTCAAACTAAAGTTAGGATAATATAATTGACATTGCTGGATTCCTTGTAAGACCAGGAATATTTTGAATATAAATGTCATATATTTTGCACAAAAGATAACATAGTTAATTTGAGAAAAATTTTTATCTAAAATTTGTATGTCTAATGCAAAAATATGATGTTTATATTCAAAATGATCACCAAATTATAAGAATTCCAGCAATGTAAATTATATTCTGGCCGGGTAATTTGTATGAATTTTATGAGCTAAAACAGGCAGTCAGGCAGGGTGGGGCAAATCTAAAAATAGCGTCTCGAGCCGGACACTCACCGCGTATATGTGGAAAAAATCCGTGTTAAGTGAAAGTTCAGCTCTGGCGAGGCACCGCGTATATGATAAAACGCGTTAAGTGAAACCGCGTTAGGCGGGGTAATACTGTATGTCTTATTTGTGTCACTTATGTCACTTGTATATTATTTGTAACTCGTAACCCATTCCCCAAATATGTAACTGTATATTTTCAGCTTTCTGGCTGCCAAGCTCTTTCAATAAACCGTTAATTATTATTATTATTATTATTATTACACACACACACAAAACACACACACACAAAACACAAACAAATCAATAATAATGGGAAAATCCTTTCACAAATAATCAGAAATTTTTTTATTAAAAATGTTAAGTTTACCCTCAAATCCACTCCGTGCTTTGTTAGTAATAAAGCATGGATGTCTCTGTTAGCCGGAACAATTGGTGCAGAGCACTTCCAGGAATGAGAGATTTCTGGGTAATGAGACGATTCTCAAAGCCAGAAAAAATCCGGAATTTTCCGGGAAACAAAAATTTTCTCAGAAATTCCAGAAATTACGCATTACATCATCTCTCAAACCGGGAAAAATATCCCCCATCCCTGGAATTTTCCAGGTACAGTGAGTTCTGCTATAACGCGTGTTTTGATAACGCGAATTTGCTCTAACGCGATTTATGAATAGAGGAACGATATTTGTTTAACGCGAACGCTTGTTTGCTGTAACGCGATTTTTGCTTACTATTTCTCCAATTTTGTGGTATTAACTGTGAATATGGAAAAGAAGAATATCTCCAAGAAGCGTTCTGGTGATCGAATTCCCGGTGATGATCGCAAAAGAAAGGATATAACACTTGAAGAGAAGCTCGATGTTATCAACCTCAAAATCACCCTTCTCCCCCATCAAGTTATATTCATATTTTTTCAAGGTAAAGTGTTACATTTACTGTATGATTTCATTATTAGATATGAATGTAACATTTATTTAGACTGTGCTATCCTTTGTGTAAGGCTAACTACTAATTTTTTTCGATTTCGAGTAGTAATCTGCACCTAACCCTATTTTCTCCATAAGCCCTGTTATTTCTATTACGCGATTTTCTATAACACGATATTTTACAAGAACACAACTATCGCGTTATAGCAGAACTGGCTGTACAGTAAGTCTGCGTTTACCGTGGTCTCGCTTAACGTTGTTTTGGTACTATGTCGCTAAACCTTAGAGACCAAAAATTTGTTTAACGTCCCGGTGATCCGATACTACGTCATTTTGTGTCGTCACAGACTTCATTTTACGGTGCATCGCCCTCTCTCGGCTTGGCGCAGAGTCTCAGTGACTCACCACCCTCCTCTTCCGCCCCCGCCATACTCCTCCCCTCCCACCATCCGCCTCCTCTGCATCACTACCCACCACACACTCACTCTGCCACCTCCGCCCATCGGTGAGTACCAATACAAACTTAGTATAGTAGTTGTATTTGTATGCATTACAGGCATCCCCCGCATTAAGGAAGGGTTGCGTCCCTGGAAAATTGACCGTATCGCGAAATTCCGTTACGCGAAACCTATTTTCCTATTGACTTCCATTATAAAACTGGAGATGCGTTCCTAAGAGAATTTTTTTTGGCCCCCCAAAAGTAATTCAAGCCCTTTTATGAATGAAAATAAACATATAAACACTGCACTACTGCAGTCTCTTCCACTTGATGGCCTCTTTCCAGTCATCTTGAATAAAGGTAATGCACTGTACTGTACTTACTGTATGTTTGTAAAAGTTAAATCCAACTGCTGGGGCGAGAAACATGTGCGCACACTGGATGTAAACAATGGACTGACTCCTCGTGGCGACGCCACGCTTGACGGTAGCAAACACCAAAAAATCCACACTAAACAAATTATAATTTTTAACAAAAAATTTTAATTTTATATTGTGATTTTTTTTTAAATTGTTAAAATTTACCCCAATTTCCGTAAGGGCTGTATCGCGAAATTATTGGTCATAATTTACAAATTCAGTAAGAGAGAAATTCCACAATCCGGGGTTCCGTAACGTGGGGGATGCCTGTATTTTATATAGAAATGGCAATGACTTTCTGTATATGTAATGTATTTCATGGGGCAAAGGGAGGCTCAGGAACGTAACTCCCGTATTTTATCTATTTCTTATGGGGAAAATTGATCCGCTTAACGTTGTTTCGTATAACGTCGTGTTTTTAGGAACAACCCTGACGTTAAGTGAGGACTTACTGTACTGGAAAAATTTTCTCTGTATTTTCGGAAGATGCACCTGATTTTCATCTCTCAAACCCTGGGGAAAAAACTCCTCAATCCCCGGAATTTTCTGGGTACTAGGAAAATTTTCTCAGAATTTTGCAGAAAATGTGCCCCTCAGAAAATTTTTCCCAAAGCTGGAATTTTCGGGAAAATTTCTGACTTTGGGAATGATTTTCCGAGAAAATTTCAATTCCCACTATCGGAGAGTTCCAAGTTTGAATGATTCCAGCTACCGGAGATATTACTACTGTACTTATTATTACCGTGACTATCATGAGCTGGTTGAATCTTCAGGTGTTGAGGTGGTTGAGGCAGGAAGTGACTGTATGACTCTCACAATGTACGATGCTGGAGGTTTAGTGGAGGTTCTGTTTTCACTGCCAATTTTATTGACTTTGTATGGTACACTATTCATATTTTTTAGACATTTCTACAGCCTCTTCAGAGACAGCTGTTGAGTTACCCTCCTATGCCACCACAGTCGCAGCCACTGTGGACACAAACCTTCACCCATACTAAATATTTTGACATGATTTAATGATGTAAACTCAATTCGTTTATGAAAAAACCTGAGATGTTTATACCACTGGAGTCTATAAAATCAGTTCTATGTACTTATGTTTAAAATTTTATATTTTTTTTTAACCAAAATAATCTTGAATAGTTTATCTAAAAGTTTGTTTAAATATATACATACTATGTATAAAACAAAATAAAAAATCTAAATGTTACTGGCCTCCAAATGGAGGTACAGTGCTTGGGGGCACAAGGCTTGAATAGCTGGGCATCACAGCTGAGACAGTACACGCTGCTGCCAGGCGTATGGGAGCTCTGGCAACACCACCGCTCGGTGACTCACCTAGAGTTAGTGCCAAGCTCCCGAGAGCATATGAGAGACCAAGAGAAAATTAACCCCTTTTTCCATAGATGTTAAAACCCTAAGCTGCTAAAAAAAAAAAAAAAATAATAATAATAATAATAATAATAATAATAATAATAATAATAATATGGCATATAAGAACCCTAAGGGTATTAAGTCTAGGCTAAAAATTAAAGTAGGATCAGTTTTCTTTGGTAGCCTGAGTCCGAAATTCCCCCCATCCTCTGGAATTTTCCATCCCGCAATGTAGGCAATACAGACCCCCTCCCAACTCTGAATTTCAGCTAGATTGAACAGGACTTCAACCAAATAAATTTGGATAAGAGGAAGTTTACTGTATTTGTCCTGCTACCCCATCAATGGCACAATTTGCATTAAATATCAGGTACCTTTACTGTGTCTTAGTGCTTTTATAAGAGGTGGAGTAGCTATCTAATATCCAGCTGTCTGGCAGTTGTGCCATCTGTTACATGATCACATCCTTAGTGCCTGTCTAAAGAGACCTGCTTGGTTCTGTGCTTGCTGGGATACAGGATTTCAAGATAATTCCTCCATCTGAGGTTAACTTGGATTTTTTTTACGTGTATACAGGGGGTCCCCGGGTTACGAACGGGTTTCGTTCCTGAGGACGTTATTAAGTTAGATTTATACGATGTTTGAAATTCCACTATATCGTAGCCTAAGTCCTTATACGTATACATCTAAAATCACTTAATTTAAGACAAAAGAAGAAATAGAATGACAAAGTACAGTAAATAAAAGTAAAAAAAATATAAAGTCATCGGGTAAATAAAATACTGTACTGTACTATAAATTTCAAGTTTAAACATGTTCGTATGTTGGTCGTTCGGGGACCCCCTGTAATCAATTAATGTCAGCGGGTAAATAAGTTACAGTAAAGGATATTCTGTGTAAAGAAAATTTTGTATTACTGTGTTATTAAAGCTTTTCAAGGAGAACTAAATTTTTAGGGCAGATGAGGACGACGATATGGAGTTTGACGACGATTTTCCGGATGACATGGACTTTGGAGACATGAATTTGCAAGATACATGTAGTGAGGAGATACAGGTGAATATTAAAGTATTTCAGTCACACTGTAGAGCAATATCACTTGTTCTTTTTTGTTCATTAATATTTTAATCTCTTATTTTTAGGTATTTTGGGGTGGCTCAGATTGAGCTTTGGGTACTTGGCAATATCTTTTACTTTTGCTCTGCTCCATATTTTAGGCCTGGATACTGTTATAGCATGGTACTTAATTGACTTATTGAACATAATGAACACCATATGCAGGCTGAGAATTTCCTTAATTTCCTAAGTTTTTATTGTTTTAAATTTTTTTACATAAACTTTATTTACTAACAGCTTCCCATAAAAATCATGAAAACACCAAACAAAATAGTGCAGTAGAGGGAAGAGGTTGGACTGTGCTCTTGAGTGTTCTGGCATGCACCAAGTTTTTCCCGATGCCCTACACATGGAAAAGATATAAAGTACAAAGCACATCCACAGATGTGAAACCTTACTCCAGTACAGTATCAATATTTTTAGGGAGTAAAGGTATATGACACACACGTGAATCCGGTTCTTGCAAAGCCAACATAATGAGAGTGATCTGTAGTAGAAGGAAGATTAATATAAGTTCCAGGTATAGTATTTGAAAGATTAAAGTGTTGCCTTTGTTACTTTCCATGATCATATACTGGTAGAAGCAGCTGATGGTACCTGCACTTTTGGAGAAGGTAGAGGTATTGATGTCGGATAAACTATTCTGTACCCATAAATGAACACCATTTTTATCTTCAGGGTGTTGACTTCAAGGACGATGACAACTCAGACAGTCTTTGGGGTCGGCCTCCTCTCTCTCCATTGAATCCTCGGGAAGAATCCCTTACATTCCAGCAGATTGAGATTGATCATTACATTGGTAAAGTCTTTGAAAGTGATAAACACTTTTCCATTTTATACATTTTAAGAAGGGCACAAAATGATGGGTTTGTAAAACATTATATTACAAGGAATTTGATTAGTGCTACAGTGGCTACTTAGCCAGGAATTTCCGGCAGGGCAACCTGGAGGCTACTTCACCAGGAAATCAATCGTGACGAGCTGGAGTGCTCACTAATAATATTCTCAGCCAATTCATTGGTGTTCTAGTATTACACCATAAATATATGTTATCTCTTATTATGAAAATAATGCAGTGAAATGGAAATAATATAAATTTAACTTATCGTTATTTTAAAAGTGAATTATTTTAAATGGGATCTAATTAGTTTCCTGTCTGTTACTTTTTATAAAAAAAAAAATAGTATGTCTTGCGAAGATTACAGATTGCCCCGGAGGGGGCTAGTTTATTGGGCACCCCCTTACATCCTGTGCAAGGTGAAGCGCAGAAGCATTTACAGTGCCCAACTGGGAAGCATGCGGAGTTCATGCTTGCCTTTATGACTCATGCATTAAGGGTGTGGAAGCCTGAAGGGTCATGGGTTTTGTCTGCAAGTTAAATAAAGTGACAGAATGATGAGTGAGTGGGGGGGGGGGATTCCCGGTACATTTCATCTGTTTATAGCAGAAGGGTTGTGTAATGCTGTTAACCTATGACCCCACTCTTGACCTCACCTGCCATTTCTGTTCCTTGGGGCTCAGACCAAAGAACCTTCAGACCTTGGCTTATGAGCTGGATATTATATATATATATATACAGAACTCTGTAAATCTCGCTCTATAGCTACTTAGTTTACTTGAAGAGGTGACACATGAAAGATCTTGCTTGTGTGGCTTATTTATGCATATTTGTGTATATTATATATATTACAATATAGCTATAACATATTCAAAGGTGCAAAATTTAATACATTGAAGATGTTGAAAAGTTAGTTTAAGAATGTCAGAAAACAAAATGTGTTCAGTTGTGGAAGAGAGAGAGCATAAAAAAAATGAAATAAATACAGGTTGTACCTCTCTAGTCCGGCATTCTGTGGTCTGGTAACTCCCGTGGTGCGGAACGATTTTAGTTTGTCCAATAGGTAGATAGGCAGATTTTTTTTTCTTTTTTCTTTTTTCTTTTTTCTTTTTTTTTTATCTGAATTATTATTATTATTATTACAGGAGTATTAAATTTTTGCCCCTCAGGCCCCAATGTGGGTCAGTGACCTATGCCCGGGTGGGCTAATCCCCTTAAAAAAAAAAAGCCGCGGGAAATTAAGGTTTGTTTACATCCGGCAGTTCGACTGCTCTCTCTCTCTCTCTCTGCTTGTCTATACAGGGTACAACATTTAACCCTTCAAAATATATGAGCAGTAAATAAGTGTTGCTTTCATATTCTTATGTAGAGTAATGACGATATGTTTTCACATGTGCGCACTTACATACGCGCAGTCTCACTTTTTTTTTTACCATTAATGGTTAGCTACTTATATTGTTCCATTTATTAACATTAAATAACATTACAGGTACTTCAAGCAACCATATTCATTTTTTACATTAATTTTACTACAGCTAAAATCAGGGTCTTATTTTCTTCAGTTTTATATGTAGAACCAATCAGTCACTGGTTTTGTAAGCTTTAACATAAACAATGCCGGCAGCCGTCTCGTCTCCTCTAATATTCCACGTATTATTAATAAATTGTATTGTTAATTTTGCACACACAAACATTAATTCAATAAAAACAAATTCAGAAACATTAATTAAAATATATATGAACAGTAAATAAGTGTTGCTTTCATATTCTTAAGTAAAGTAATGACGATATGTTTTCACGTGTGCGCATGCGCACTTACATACGCGATCTCTCTTTTTTCTTTACCATTATCGTTCGCTACTTCTATTGTTCCATTTATTAACATTAAATAACATTACTTAAAATAACCATATTAATTTTACTACAGCTACAGCCAAGGTCTTATTTTCTTCAGTTTTATGTGTAGAACCAATCAGTCACTGGTTTTGTAATCAACGAAAACAATGCTGTGTCATTTCCTCGTGTGTTTTAATATTCTACGTATTATTAATGAATTGTATTGGTCATTTTGCACACGTAAACATTAATTCAATAAAAAAGACATTCAGTAATAAACAATAATGAATCTTTTGTACATAAGAGAAATGACGCTGTTTACACGATTATGCACGTCGTCTGCACGTTGGCGGGCCGTTGAAACCCGTCGAAATTCAAGTTTCCGCCGTCAAAATTTTTATTTATTTATTTTTGTGTTTCAATAAAATACGTGAAGAATTAAACACTCGCGAAATTTGAGAAGCTACTATACGACATTTAACCCTTCAATATGTCTTCAAAGAGACCATGATGCAGAGAAAGTGGTGCTAGTGCTTCCAAGCATAAGCACAAGTCACTATGTATCCAGGAAAAGGGTGAATTTCCATGGTCTGGCAATTTCCTTGGTCCGGCACCGGTCAGGTCCCGAGGTTGCCGGACTAGAGAGGCACAACCTGTATTCTTATTAATTTCTTCAATACATATTTTTTTTCATAATAAGGTATAATAAATGCCTGTGGTGTGATGTTAGAATGACACGAATTAGGTGAGAAAATGATCACTGATCACACCAGCCCGTCATGATTGGTTTCCTGTCTAAGTAGCCACCTCCAATAGAATTATATTTCTATAAATTAAATGAGTATGGTAAATAACATATACAGGTAGTGTTTTATTTTCAGTCTTAAGAGCGGTGTGGTGGCTGAGTGGATGCAGTGTCATAAGGGTTGCTGGGTACTCTGTCCACCCAAACTATAAATGCGTATCTGACTTTAGAGCTGTGGAACTGAAGGCTGTTTTGCGCAGTGCACACCACACTGCCTCCTTAGTATACTGTGTGCTGTATCTTAACTGGCCCTAATTCATTTGTCTTTTACATTCTATGATTTTTTATGACCACCTTAACATTACAGAATCAGTTTAAGATGGATGAAGTGCTCTGAACCCTCTCGCCATTGCTTTAACTTGTTTACTCCATATTAGTGTACAGTATGTTCCCTGCTTTCCTACTTGCTGTATACAATATTTGTTAACTTCAATGTTTTTAATACTGTAGCAGTGTATACAAATAGTATTTGATTTCCATAAATTACAGTGAAGAGATGACATTGAGTGAAAACATTTGAATACATAGTTATTCCTTCTGAATTCTTAACTAGTTTAAATCACTTGGGCTTATTGACAAGTGATATATATATATATATATATATATATATCTTGATAAAATCACACGGGAAAATGGAAACAACGGAGTACCTTAGCTTTCGTCTTTATTCAAGACATCTTCAGTTGCCTCTGAAGATGTCTTGAATAAAGACGAAAGCTAAGGTACTCCGTTGTTTCCATTTTCCCGTGTGATTTTTTATAAGGTAAACTTGGCTGCAAAGACTCGTGAACAATCATAATCATAAGTGAGGGAATGACTCCTGGAATCCTTTTTCCAATTGAGAGATAAACAAATGGTTTAATTCCTTCACTACAGGAGCACCACTTTTAATACTTTATTTGGCTAATGCCAGACAATTTTATTCAGCACAGAGGGGAGCCCGTACACAAATGGTTACTACCCACCTTCTAACCTTGGAGGGGCACAAGTCTTAGGAACTGATTAGTGAAATTAATTTTCTGAATAAATGGATATGATAGATTTTGGTAAGGAGAACTTTTTTGGCTGGTTGTCATCTTTTAAAACTGAGAGATCTAGGTGAGTTTGGGAAATAATTATTCTGTTGCTACATTATTTTGAGAGAGCAACAAAACACCATTATGGGGGTGTGGTGAGTTGAAATAATCATGAGAATTTATTTACCTCTGTCATAATTAGAATTTCAGCATTCATTTTCTCATTTGTGACCATACATATTAACACATTATTATTATTATTTATTTATTTATTTATTATTTTTTTTTAGGGAGTTCCATTGATGGAATGCCTGGACAACATGCTGGTAAAGTGCCAGTGATGCGCATGTATGGAGTTAATGATGATGGGAATTCTATATGTTGCCACGTGCATGGCTTCTCTCCTTACTTCTATGTTACTTGTCCACTAACATTTAAGGAGTCTCATTTGGGAGAATTCAAGGTAAAGATATATTAATATTTTAATTTTATTTTTAGGTGACTGAATGAAGTACTTTTGGCAGGTGAATTAAGGGGACTGTTTGGAAGCTATAAAAGAAGGTGTTTTTGCTCTGTTTTCATATTTTATTTATGACTTGTATAGATGATTACAATTACAGTATCTTCCACCCCTCCCCCCCCAACCCCTATTCCCCTCCTTCCTGATTAGATAGGCCCCATGTAGTTCTCCAGTGCTACTTCGTGGATTCTCCCTTTATTTCAAGTTTGTCTGTCCAGTATTATAACGGAAGGAAGGACTTAAGGCAGCGGCACACTGGGCACTTTCCTCCCAACACGTTGGCTGTTTTTGCTGGCCACTGGCCTGACGGCCCAGCAAGCAGCAGTATTTCGGCTGTTGCAAGAATTAGACAATAGTTTGGCTGGAATAGTGCTCAAAAGAGCTTCATATTAGGAGTTGAATATTTAAGTAAAAGTTAAAATAAATCATGAAACGATAATAATTTCAATTGTAACACATCAAACGGTGACATGTTTCTATTTTTTATTCACTTTAAAACTTCTTTAGTATTATTAAATCATTATTTAGGCTCTTCTTTGACCAGCCAGCCGCTGCCACTTGACAAACTTCACAATGGTTTCCCCAGCACACGTGGGATGTGTATGTGGGAGCTCCGTGTTTTTCGTTGAAAAAAAACAGGGTCATATCAGGAGTACCCAGCCTGATTTCTAGAAAAACTGATTCGTGAGTGAGTAGTTAGTGACGTGACCAGTACAATATCTATCTGTGATCCCCCTAAGTAGATATATTTATCAATTTACTGGTGAATCTGTGACTCTGTGACTGTGATTTCTCTCAGTGCCACAGCTTGTAATCTGAGCCCTAGTCCACCTCACCTTCCTTCTCCCCCACCGTCCCACCAGGCCAGCCACCCCGCTGACCACACAGTTTGACCGACTCCCCACTGCCAGCCTACACTTCCCTCACTAGCTTCGATATGTCTAAATTGGCTGTTAGTGTCAAAAATTCAAATTTCACGAAACAACAGCTGACTGATGTGATAATGGAAGTCCAACGGACTCTCATACAGGACATCATACAACAAATGAATAAGGAGACCATTAGGAAGCTAGAAGAGGCTGACCGGCATCTCACTGACCAGCTAAGTGAGATTAGAAGCAGCTTGGAATTCTCGTAAGGGGAAATAAATGACACAAGGAAAATTGAATGTTGAAGCTAAAGATAACTGAGCACTTAAGACCCAAGTTCAACAACTGAGTGAGGATAATTTCAAGCTCAAAATGGAACTAAAGACAACAGCAGACCGGATGGATTATGTGGATGACAGGGCGGCGAAACAACCTCAGGTTTACCGGAGTCGCCGAAGATGCCGACGAGAACTGGGAGTCGTCCCAGCGCAAAATTTCACGCCTGCTGAATGAATGCTTTAAACTTTCTGAAGTAAAGTTTGACCGTGACAAAGTGTTTTTTCAATGCAGTGAGCTGAAAGGCAGCACTATCTTCGTCAACGAGGACCTCTGACCAGGTACGACTGAAGCCCGCCTACAGCAAATGGACCAGCTTAAAGAAGCCAGGAAACAAGGGAAACACGTGACGTTCAGTCATAAAACTCTTGTTGTGAGGGATCCGGCAAGTGGACACCCGCCCACTCACCCACCCGCTGTACCCCCAAGCCCCTCGAGAACCCCCTCCCCACTGAGAGGGAACCAGCCACTGTCGCTATCACCTGAGGAGTTTCCCCTCCCCCTGCCGGCCAACCCGGGTACTAAACATCTACCCTCTGTGGTAAAAACCAGCAACCCTCAAAACCAAGTGACAGACGCACCTCCCACTCAATCTGGGAACCACCCTCAACAATACCTGTCATCTTAATTCTGTTGGTTGTGGCACTTGTGAGTACATTACCCCCACCCCCCCATTATTATAGCTTTCTTTGATCTTCCTTTTTCACACCTCAGTGACTCTGAGTTTTTACTGTTCCTTAATCAGTATCAATGTTCCTACACTGATGATGCCAGTGTCATTCCCTTAGATGTGCTAGATTATATGTGTTACCGTATTTTGCGGCATAGAAGACGCTGCATCGTGGGAGATGACCTTGATTTTGGAAATGTAGTTCTAGGAAAAACTTTTTATACCTACTAACCGACACCAGTGAAACCTTTGTTTGATATACAGCCCTTTTGGCACCAGTACACACACCTCTGAATGTCGTCACTTAGAACTGCTTATCAGTCGTCATTTTCATGAATTTTTAATAAAAAATCTGTATAAGAAGGTGAAATCTTTAATACAGCACTCATTTTATACACCTGGTCACCTCTGCTTCTAGCTGGTTGTAGTGTTTACATTCTTTCTCTTGATTTTGTCGGTATGATAATGACGCAATTCCTCAATAGATGGCTCTGCCGCACAACTGCCATTAGTAAACAAGCCGCACAGTTGCAGGGGTTGAGTAGCTGCAGCCATTTAATTTTTGTTTTTTGCCTACTGAGAAAGTAAATAATCGTATTTTTCGCAGTACAGTATATCAACAATATTAGTTAAATCAATTGTTTTAGAGTATAGAGAACACTTGTAATTGCTAAGTTGACCCTACGAAAACCTCTGCTACAACCCATCAACTAGTGTCGTGGAAGACGCATGGTAATTTTCAAGGTATATTTTTGTAATAAAAAGTGCGTCTTCTACGCCGCAAAATACGGTACACCCCATTCACCCATGGTGTCGACACAATACTCCCTCATATTGATCCTGATGCCTTTCTACATAACTCACTGGGTTACACCAACCCCAACTGTAACTATTACTTTCCTGACTCTCCCGTGTTTAGTTCTAGTCTTCTACTATCTCATTCCTTCTCCTTAATTAGCCATAACATCAGCAGTATTCCCCTTCATTTAGATACATTTTTCGATCAGTGTATATCTTCTGTTGTCCATAAATTTGATGTACTTGGGTTCTGTGAGACCAAACTCACTAATGATATTGAACATTTGTATTACATTCCTAATAATAATAGACACTGCTTCAGCACATCACAACACAATGGTGGTGTCGCCCTATATGTTGATATCAAGTATAGCACTTCTGTAAGAGATGATGTAAAGGTTCAGGAGGAGTTCATGGAGAGTGTTTTTACTGAATTACGTAACGACACACGAAATATCCTAGTAGGAGTAATCTACAGAAGACTCCACACTAGTGTAAGAAACTTTATTGATAAATTTTCAGAGCTTATCACTATCATAAGTTCAGAGACGAAACTTTACTACATTATAGGAGATTTCAACCTTGATCTATTAAAATCAGAAACCGACACCTCAGTATTAGACCTTCTTGCTACCTGTCATTCTAAACTCTTCTTCAACACTATAACCAAACCCACTAGAGTAACTGCCACTGTGATAGATCATATCTGGACTAACAACACTCCTAACAATCTAGCAAGTGGAATTATTATAACAATATCTCAGATCATTTCCCAGTTTTTGCCATGTATAAAACAGCCACAAGACCTGAAAGGTCTAGTAGAGTCTCAATACAATAGAGAGACTACTGCACCGACAACATGCTCCTTTTGAAAACAACTTAATGAATTCTAACTGGCATCTTGTCTATGCCTCCGACAACAACGTAAACAACTGCAACTTTTCTTGCATCTTCAATGCTTGCTTTGATAAGTGCTTCCCCGCTCAAGACTAAGTCATTGAAAAATGTATCCATTTCCAAACCCTATATCACAAGTGAAATAAAGATAATGATAAAAGAAAAACACAAACTCCCAAAGGAAATTTGCAAAAAGACCCATAACTTTCGGTGATGCTTACCGAAGTATCAGAAATAGAGTACCGTATATACCCGTGTATAGCACGAGTTCTTAAGACCAAATTTTTGGGCAAAAAGTTGGGGGTCGACCTCTATACGGGTAATAGTTTCGTTAGGTTGAAAAATATTTACCAGTAACTACCAGTAAACAATGGAAACGACGCACCAACGCACCACCCGCTGTGAGTGTCGGTACAGTTGCCAGGGCAGATCTCTTGCGTCATCATAGCAAGCCCAAAGTAGCCAAATGCATGGTATGGTATGCACAGGAGTATGTAAAACATAAAGTATTCATTTTTAAAAGTTTATTTATAGATACATAAATTTTTGTTAATTAAATTTGAAACATCAATATGATGTGAGTCAGGTCATCTACACACAGTTGCCAGTTTCAAAATTTTCCTTTTAAAATTTTAAGTTACCGAGTATTTCTTTTCCCAAATCGTTTTACAATACTGTAGGTAAAACAGTATACTATTGTGCAAACCCCACAGAAAAAAAATTAACAAATGGAGACACCAAAAATGTAAAAAAAAAAAATGCTGTCTGACTTGCAACACTGTTGGTAGGGTCAGGTGGTTCTAACGGTACCTGCCAGGACCCGGTAATCAAATTTATAACAATATCTAACCTCAATTACTGTAGTTTATCTGATGTAGGCAATATGAAGTAAAAAATACCAGTTAAAGTGAGAAATTGGAAGAGAATAAACAAGAAAGATGTTGGGCTATTTTTGGTAGGGCTGAGGGAGAGAGTACCAGCTGTTTGGTCTTTTTTGGCGGGAGAGTCACGCAAATATCCGTACTAGTATTTGTTTGGTGTCTTCTGTATTTTTAAAAATGAATACTTGTAAATTAAAAGTACCGTAACATTGTATTATATAAAAACTTGTCATATTTCTGGAAAATAAGAAGCAAGAAAATAAGAATACACCGGTAAACACAATTTCAACGTACGCTAAAATTAAAAGCTGCTTAAGAAGGGCCGATGCAAACACAAAGCCTCCACGACCAGGGCTCTGCCGTATCAGCTAGACGGTACACGTGTTTTTCGAATCGTTTTCAGTTAAAAAACTTTTACATCACAAGTGAATTAGGATAGAATATTATTGTAATATAACAGTTTTTAACTGAAAACCATTCGAAAAGGCGATT